TGGCGTCATCTAAGACCGGCACCTATGTAAGTCTACACTGTGACCTATACAGTGACTTAGACTATGTTTGAGAAAGTAGCATTGGCTTGTTGTTCAATAAGGGCTCTGCACACCAACTGAGTCTGTCATCCCTGGGAAAGCTGTTCAGCCTTTCCACCTGGACTCCACTAGCCCTGCTGAACACTCTGGGGGACAGAACGCTGGATTCTCCATGAGGAATAAACTCACTGGTGATATCTAGGCCTCTCATAGGACTAAGAAAATGCTTCATTTGAGTTCCTACCTGAGAAGCTTGGAAGCTTCATAGGAACAAAACAATGGGAAAAGACTCAGAAAAGCTCTTCAAGTGAAAAAATAAGACTGACATCAGAGCCAGGCAGTGGTGGCACACACCTTCAATCCCAGCACTCGGGAGGCAGAGGCAGGTGGATCTCTGTGAGTTCGAGGCCAGGCTGGACCGACAGCCTCCAAAACAATATAGAGAAACCCTGTCTCGTAAAAACCAAAAAAAAAAAAAAAAAAAAAAGACTGACCTCAATGGTTACCTGAAACATGCCATTCAAAACCATTGCTAGGTACGAATATATAAACTTTGGTGTTACAGATTTTATGACTGATTAACTAATATGTCATCATCCCTACTTGCAAGAGACCTAGAACTTGGAGCAGGCAGACTATGGCATGCATTGTCAGTGTAATATCAGGCTATAAATCTTCCTGCTCAAACCGAAGCACTGTTTATGACTCTACCTGAATCTTACTCCTTGAGTATTATCAGTAAACAGGACTGAAATGAAGGGCAGGGACCTACCATGGAGCAGGAGTGGACCATCTTCAGCATATGTGTCAAAGAACAGGAGACCATCCACTCACCAAAGCTGGTTCCTCAAGTGCCCTCCCAGTCCAACCATTCAGCATTATAAAGGTATCATGATGGTACGGATTTGGCCAGGGGCTGCCTGGGCCCATCTCAGTGAGAAGTTCCTTACTGGACACCCAGATCAATTAAATACCAACTACAGAGACTAAAATGTAGTCTTGGTTTTAGTTTTCCTCCTATAAAATCTTGTTTCTGGTATAGGAAAATGATAAAAGACAGGAAAATTTTATATAACATGGATAACAAAGATTATGAAATGCATGTAATATATATACATATACATATATATCTAAAAGTAGTTCCAGGAAAAAGTGAAAAGAACAAGGCAAATGGGACCAAGATGTGCCCAAAATAGCAAACTGCAAAGGGGGGGGGCCCTTTTATGGTGGATTAGGGAAGTTTATATGAGATCATGGCACAACTACCTTTAAGTCTGAGGAGTCATCTACCATTCTAAATATGAAATGTTTTTACTAAAGCAGGACTCTGAACTGTGGCCTCACGAGCAACAGCAGTGTTATCACCTAGAAACTTGCCAGAAATGCAAATATCAGGTTCTCTCTAAAGGGTGTGTGGGAGAGAGAAAGGGGGGGGAGATGTTTGTGAGTGAGTGTGTGTGTTTGCTACCTGGTAAAAGACCTGGAGCTAAGTGTAATTTAGTGGTAGGGCACTTAGCATCCATTGTGCCCCAGAATGCATAGATGCATAGACTGAATCTCAATCTAATCTCCCTCCCCCTCCCCTCCCCTCCCGCTCCCCTTCCCTGCCCTCCCCTCCCTCCTCTCTGTATTTAGCAACTATAGTATCTGTGAGGACATAACTTTACACTGGACAAGAAAGACAGAACATCTATTTTTACTGAGTACCCTAAACATACTCCATATATGCTAATATTTTTATTATACAATATATTTTCCAAAGCCTTTCTACAGACTTTTTAAAAACTCAAGAAAGAGTAAAATTCAGAGCTCACTATTTTAAAATTATGATACAAGCATGACTTTTTAATAAAGACAGCAGCAATAAAGCTCACTCACAAGTTACCTCAGGGAAAGTAGCATTCATTGGTTTCTTGAAGTGTTCTTAAGATAGAAGGTCTCCATTCAGAAGTCCCCCTTTTCTTGTTGCTTCACTGGTTGAAAGGTGACACCTCAACCTCTCATCAGCCATCACAAGACTATTCAAATTTAACACTGACACTTTGTCCTTTACCTTGTTCCAAAATACTGCAGGAGTCATACTGTCCAACGCTATTCCATATGGGCACACTCCGGATCCAGCAGGCAGGGGTAAGCAACATGCCTCTGTATCTTGCCGTTCCTCTGCTCCCTGTTGTTTTTGGAACAACCCTCACTTTAGCTAAACATAACCCTTCTGGGCAATTCATTTTTAGTAAGAGAATCTGCCTTCCGGCAGAGCCTCCAAAATGCTGATTACATTCCGACACTGAGCTAAAACCTCTCAGAACTCACTGATTGGGCATCTTCTGGTCTTTAAAAATACTCACCCACTTTATGAAAAAAAATCAAATAAAAAAAACTACTAACCACAAAAGTTTTGTGAATAAAAAGCAAAACAATTATGTAGTGAACAACCAGAGAAATTCTTCTGAAGGCACTGTGTCTTGTCATCGGTTCTCTTATTAACTGTTGATGATTAGCAACAGATTTACAAAATCTCTCTCCGTGTTCCAAGTTATTTTCTAACTCTAAATTCACTACTATCTGTGGTAATGGGCATATCAGTTTAAGAGTTAGAACTTTTAATAAACCTCTTAGGTTTTTACTACCAAAATTATTGCTGCCTGACCTAAGAAACATGTGTAGGAAATAAGCCAATGGCAAATGCTGGAGACTGTGGAGATGGGTCAGACTACTTGCTGCATAAGCATGAGTTCTTGGGTTTAAATCCCCAGCGCCCACATGCAACGTCAGGTTTTGCTGTGCATGTATCTTAAAGCTCAACACTGTTGGGGGTAGAGCCGGAGGATTGCTTGGCTTGCAGACTGCCAGTCTAACTCCAGATTCAGGGAGAGACTCTGTCTCAAGGGAACAAGGTGGGGAGTGACAGAGAAGGACACCTGACGTCCATCTCTGGCCCCTACAAATGTACATATGTGCGCACACTACACACAGAAAGACACAAGCACACACCTGAGAAAGTGATAAAGAGGCAGGGAGGGTGAGTCAACCATATCAATGATATCTACCCCTAAGTTAATGTCAGTAGCCCTTACCAAACAGGAGGTCACAAAACATACATACAAAGAAAAGCATGGTCATTTTAAAATGTATACAACTTTCTTAATAACTTTCTGCTCCCTTGGGTAGTCTATAAAGTGAAGAGTTCACTCCATATAATTCAAAAAGAAAATCTATACATAGCATAGAGGGGGAAGGATAAATCTCCAGGGTCTCAGATTCACTTCTTGTTGCCTTCCTTCATTACACGTTTAGAGATAATCAATAAAAGCTGATTTCCCTTTGTAAGCACTTTCCTATTGTGCCAGAAATAATAGCAGTCTCTGCTCCAAAATGAAAGAAATGGAAAGTAATATTTACCATAAGAGGCGAAAAATGAAACTGCCTAAGCATTTTTCCGGAGCCAAGTAAAACAACGCCAAGCCCAGTTTATGCTCAAAGAAAAAAATTATTCTCTATATCTCCAGCATTAGTTTTACTCTAAAAAAATCTATGACATCAACAAGTTTCCAAACACTGTATTTACATTGCCGTTTTCAATGACAACCTCCTATGTTTCCTAAAAGTTTACTATATTTCTGTGTGAAGACAATAAAAGCCAGCAACGGAGTAGAGAAGGAGACAGAAGATGCTGCCAGGTCCCCAAAGCACCTCCCAGCACAAACTAAGATACAAAACCTACTGAGGGTTATTCCAGATAAGAAAACAAAGGACTGCACATCGATCTAAGACTTGCCGGGGCACACAAAATTGCTTTGCTGTACCCATTTCCAGCACACTTACAGAGTTTTACCATAAATAATCTCAGATAAGGCACTGGGGTTTTCTAATCTGCACCAGACACCACAAAATGGTCATGTGGGGGCCTTTTTTCCCTCTGTATTCTTCACAAAAGACGGTAAGAAAATATCAAGTGGAAGAAGAATAGACTTTTACTTTGTTATAAAGTTACACATGCCGTTTTACAGGTCTTCCAGGCTTCCTGTTTCCCTTCAGTCTGTACCATCGATGGAGGTTGTCATATTTCACCAGGACGGATTGTAAATCAGACAAGTTCAGCCAGTCAGGTTGAAGGATGGAGGTGAAAAAGCCCAGTGGAAAATATATAAAATGCAATTAGAACCATATGACCAGAGATATTGAAGCAATACTTGTTGGAAGAGCGCCAAGTGAAAAACCAGACTGTGTCTGGTGTTAGTGAGAGTGTCCAGTCCGTTTGGGACAGCTCCCATCAGTCTCTAAACACTGTATTCTTTTCTTTCCTTCACGGAAAAGTTACCAGAGACCTTAAAATCTCACGTCCTAATCAGTCAGTGAAAAACATAGTTGCCAAGATGAAATTATAGCTCACCTAAAACTTACTTCGAAATGTAGTGTAAAATTAAATAAGGGTCAATGTTATATCCACCAGGAGTCTCAAAGGCTTATAATTATCACAATATTGAACCAAACACCTTTTGCATTTTTTCTATGAAATCCTTGCTTCTAAAGACCTCAAGTGTCCAGCAAGGCAAAGACAACCCATGGGTCTACTGTTGGACGAAAACAGCAAGAAGTTGTAAAACACAAACTATCTCATCGGCACATACATTATAAACAGCCTATACATGCTTGTCCCACATAGAAGGTACCCAGCAGGCCAAGGGTGTGTGTGGTGTGTGTGTGTGTGTGTGTGTGTGTGTGTGTGTGTGTGTGTGTGTGTGTGGTGTCTACGGATGAACAGACATGAAGAACCCTGACACTGTAAAAGAATTCCAATCAAAATCTTTGACTCTACTGTATCTATTACCATGGCCATTTCAGATCTAGTTCTTGCATTCCAAGAGTCAATTACGATTGCATCAGTAGACAGATGAAACATACTATTCAATACTGCTTTGAGATTCTAGAAACAACTCAAGTTTAGTGAAGTCACTTACCTCCCAGAAACTGTATTCCTCCAGCCACCCTTCCTACTGTCCTGGAGATGAGCTCTGACACGCAGCAACCCATAAGGGCGGTGAGAGCTACCAGCAGGAGCAGGCCACAGCCCAGGCCTGTCACAACGGTACAGATCCTCCACTCTGCGCTGGGGATGCCCTGGAAGGAGGCGTAGCGCCCACATTCCTCCACCATCACCATCATCTGCCGACTCTCATCGTGCACAGGATAGGAGCATCTCCGGAAGGTGCCAAAGGACACAGGCTTGCCCAGCTGAGATCCCCAGAGCCAGTAAGGCATAAAGAAGCCCACGCAGGAAGTGGCAGCACAAAGGAAGGAGACAAAAGCCCAGATTACTCCAGTACAAGTCAGGCTGGATGCCATCTTTCACCGGGAATGCAGTGAGGACCCAATGTGACTGTCCTGGAGGCGTGAATGAAGGTGTGCGATCACTAGGCGCTCCCAGGTAATCCACAGTTCTTCAGGGAGGATGCAGCTACTGGCAGCAACAAATCTTTAGTCTTCCTGGGTATCAACCCTTCATACTTTGTAGTAATGATGGTGGCCCCTGGCAAAAGAGCAGCAGGAAACAGTGAAAGTTAAGTACTTCTAGCTTATTTATAGGTCTCTAGAAGCGCTATAATACTCAGTTAAGGGATGTCAAACTTCCTTCAATGCTTCAAAAGTGGGAAGAACTAATTCTCTCCATACCCATCTCTATACAAGTTTTACCAAACTAGCTCAAAGCTTCCCCATGTCTTAATCTCCCATAATATGCTCCCAAATTAATTCTGACAGCTATTTACTTAAAGAAATGAATGACTTCTATTTGCCAAGCCAGTGAATTCATTTCACATACTCACATTAAAAGCAATGTAGCTGTTTTTTTTTTTTACTAGCAGTAGACAAAACTCGGGACATTAAAATAAAATGAACCATACTGCTGTTTGTTTATTTGGCCTGCAAATTCACAATTAGTTCCTAGCAATTTCTCCGCATCCCTTGATGGGTGTGTCGACCAAGCAAAATGATGGTAACTCCCTACAATTACAGAGTACTGTAAATTTAACTAACGTCTACCACCCAGGTGTATGTATTGGACAGAACCATGGTCACACACTCCCAGTACTCAGCAACACTGAGAACTCCTTCCGCCTTAACCTTCCAGGGTAAATGCAAGCCTCTATTATTTTCATTTCTATTTCGACTCATCGGCTTCAATGATTTCACTTGTGTTTTACTTAACCGGACAGGGCGCTCACACTTTTCCAATACCCAGTGTCAAACATCAGCGATTCAAACGGTTCAACTAGGTGGGTTGACTCGCACACCTGAAAACACTCTGCACAAGGATTGCAAAAGTACCCCCACCCTGGTGTTCCATCTGCAAACTACTTCCTAACTCCAGCCTCAGAACCTAGAGCAAACTCTGTTTTCCTAAGCTTCTCTCGCCCTCAGTTCTGGATTCTACCCAAAGGGAGCTCCCTCTGGCTACAGTTTTTAAAATCTTGTCAGCTGCGAGCCAAGGCTGTAGTTGAGTTGGTCCGGGGGTAACCAGCAACTAGGAGGGGTAGGAGGAAGGAGGGCCTCTTCCTCAGCTGGAGTGAGGTGCCCTAGTCCAGATCAACTCAAAGCCCCCGCTCCCTCCCCCCAAAATGCTCACCCACCGCACCCTGGGGCACCAGGGACACACAATGATCTCCGGATGCTAAGCAGCACCGGGAAGTTCTAGCAGCCGGCTCTGAGGAAGGGGCCGAGAAGGATGGAAAGGCAGCACCCACCGGAGGCCGACACTGACCGCAGCTGAACCACGCCGCTCAGGAAGTCATGCGGGGGTGGGGGGAGGACCCGGGTGCGAGGCTCGGGGCTGCGGGACGCGCTACTTACCCGGCCGGGCGGCGGCCACGGTCCCTAGCGGGTCCCGGGCGCAGCACAACTTGCTGTCTTTCCCTGGCGGGGACAGAGCGGTACGGAAGACTGTCCTTCTCGCCTTCTCCACTATCGCGACAGGGATCCGGACGACTCTGGAGAGCCGGGGTGGAGGGTCAGGAGGACCCGCTCGGAGAGCCTGCCGGCTGTGGCCGTGCGGCCCGGGAGCACCGCGGATGCCGGCTCTGGCTTTGGCAGGCGAGGCACGCGCCGCCTCCTCCCCGCCCTCCCCTTCCCGCTGTCCCCTCCCCTTGGCCCCGCCGCGCGGTCCTGGACGCGCGAGAGTGGGGGCGGCAGACAGACTGAGAAAAATCAGGGAGAAAGTTGCTTGCCTTCCTCGCAGCTCCTCGGGGTCGCCGAGGCCACACCCTACCCCTGTGTTCTTTTCTGGGTCAAACATTGGGGTCTGGGGCTGCGGTGTCCCCGCAGCCTTTGCAGAGACTAGGGTGGGAAGTAGCCTCAGAGCGGGCAGAGTGATGTCTGTGAGCTGTAAGGGGCTGTGGGGAAGTGACCGGTTTGGAGGACAGAGACCATGCAGGGTGTGGACGGAGATCTGAGAGGCTGGGCATGCAACCCGAGGCTGCGGGATTGAGTCAGTGGGGGACAAGCTGGAAAAAAGGCGGCGACTCCTTCAGTCTGCCTCTCCCAACAGCTGCACACCTTTGGGATCCTCTTTCAAGACATTTCTCTTCTTCTCAATGTTCCCCACTCCCTTCCCTCCTCCTCTCCCCTCCTCTCCTCTTTTCTTCCTCCCCTCCTTCCCTTCCCCTCTCCATCCCCCCACCCATGATCAGTTTTATAATCCACACAGCCTTTGGATTTCCTTTCTGAAAATCAGACCCCTTTCATTTTTTCTCTGGACCTGCTGGGGGTTCTGACTTGCCACCAGCATTTAACCCTTTGGAGGCCACAGCTGTGTTCTGTAGGTGACTGACCCCTGGCGCCTCCACTAGGGACAGTTATTTTAGGAAGTTACCATCTGGGAATGGCAACTTTTGAAGTGCATACTTTCCCAGATACAGTTTTTGTGATGTGCCTTTTCAAAGGAGTTAGAAGTAATAAATGGGTGAGAACATATTTCATAATAAAATTTCAAGTGCACCTTTTAATTAGGTAGCATCAGCTGGAAATGGGGGTGTTTTGTGATTGTTTGGAAGGTTCTAAGTGATTGATTCCAAGCCTGCCCTTTGTAAGAATATAATGCAGGTAATGAGTCTCCCAGGAAAACAGAGCAACACACATTAAGCTTTCTCACAAAATTCCTAAGAAGGGCAAACAACAGTTCCCAGGAGACATTTAGCAAAGTCTGTTTTTTTTGTTTGTTTGTTTGTTTGTTTGTTTTGTAACCATGACCCATGACTGGGAAGGCACTACTGGAACCTAGTTCATAAAAGCCAGGGATCCTGCTCTCAGTACAGTACACAGGGCACATCCAGAATAATCTAGCTTGAAGTGTGAACAGGCCAAGGCTGCAGGGGCCTGTTCTAAAATGTCACATAGTTCAAGCTCCTCCATGGACCTCAGGTTTAGATGTCTAGATTTGAAGTTTTCCTTCTTTAATTTATGTTTCAATTCTTCGTGTGCATATCACCAGTTGCTGAGTGTGGATGGTAGCCACATGACTGGTCTGACTCCCAGCTAAGTGTCTCTCCCTGCCCCCACCCTGCACACACTCACACATCTCCTATCTGCGTAATGTAGAGGTAGCACATACCAGCCTAGACAAAATTATATAGTGGCAGCCAGACCCAACCACCCACACACAGTCACACGCTACCTACAAGAGAGCTTGTCTAGGGTGCTTTCTCAAGCTTAGAGGAACTTTCAATGGTGACACGGATTGCCAAGGAGGCATTAGCAGTGACCATGTCAAGTGCAGATTCTCTCATCACTGTGTATCAGGGCACTAGTTTATGAATAGATGGCTTCATGTAATTCTCAACAAAAGGGAGGGAAAAGCTATGAAGGAGGTTATTATTTTACAGAGGAACAAGTGATTTACTTGGAAGCACATGGTTAAAATATGAACTTATAAAAATGATCTCCTTAGCCGGGCGTTGGTGGCGCACACCTTTAATCCCAGCACTCGGGAGGCAGAGGCAGGCAGATCTCTGTGAGTTCGAGACCAGCCTGGTCTATAAGAGCAAATTCCAGGACAGCCTCCAAAGCCACAGAGAAACCCTGTCTCAGAAAAAAAAAAAAAAGAAAAGAAACGAAGAAGCCAAAAACTGTAAATCCTATCAGACCAGAATATTAATTAAATGGTGGACTGCTTTTCCTGGGATCAACATTCCAGTGTAAGTGATAGAATTTAGGCAAACAATGAACTGCCTGCCTGAGTCTTGTTATCTTGTAATATAGAGTTTGAAACAATTACATTTAATGTTGCTGAACCTCATAGTTCTCCAATCTTGGAGAAGGGAGTAAGGAGTCATCCAATCACGTATCTCACTCAAAGCGGAGTCTAGAATCACAACTCCTAGTTCCCCTTTCATTCCAACATATAATTATCTCTCCAAACTATAAAATCTCCTGAATTACCCTCCAGGTTCCGGCATGGATACTTTACATGCACATGCATTATAATATCTTTAAAAACCTTTGCATTCGATTTACATCTTCAAAGGATCTTTCAGTTACATCACAGCCAGACGTTCCCACATAGCAGATGCTGCTCTGCCTCTCCTTCCAGGCTCCAGGGCAGAGAGTCTGGCTAGCAGTCCTATTGAATCACGGATGAGTCATGAAGGTAAATGCATATGGAAGACCATAGGCATTTATGAGAACACTTTTGGTTTGCCTGTTCAATATTAATTCCCAATCCCACATCCCTTGTTCAACAGATGCTTTTCCAACTCCCTTTAAATTTAGTGGTTGTTACTTGACTCCCTTTTAGTCAACGAATCTGAGGAAGACTAGGAGAACCCATTCTTTGCTTATAAGGATGCTTGGGAGAACATTTCTCCCACCTTCCTGGCTCACGTTCTTAAAGCATGAAGTGTTTGGCATTACAATGATCTTGTATTCATCAGGATGGGGAAGGCAAGGAGACGTGACCATCTTCACACAGTCAGCGGTTTACCTCCTTGTGAATTTTCTTTCTGCTGGAGTCACGATCATGTGCCACCATGTCCAGGTGCTCATGAGTATTTTTAAGTAAACAGCAAAGCCTTCATATGGTTTAAGTCACCGTAAGTTGCATTTTTTCTTCCATTAACTGCATCTCTAATTAAGCGCTATAGATAATACATATACTCAATGATAAGAAATATACACATCAGTCAGCATGGTACTGTTTTGCTTGCCATGGTGGGTAGAGGCTCAATAACTGAACATGAATGGAAGAATTAATGTGCAAATCAACATCGTGTGATTATTATACTTGCTGTAGCATAAGTGGAACTTCCTTTTAAGAGGTATGCTATGTGAAGTTACTGATGTAGACATGAAACACAGGGACCAGAACCAAGCATTTCTGGCTCCTGGAGAGAGGAAGAGGAGGTTTTTAAAATAAATTTTAATTTTAATTTTAATTAAAAACAATCTTATTAGCCAGGTGGTAGTGGCACACTCCTTTAATCCCAGCACTCGGGAGGCAGAGGCAGGCAGATCTCTGTGAGTTCGAGGCCTGGCTGGACCCACAGCCTCCAAAACAATACAGAGAAACCCTATCTAGTAAAACCAAAAAAAAAAAAATCTTATTTTGCATACCAATCCCAGTTCCAGTTCCCTCTCACATCCTCCCAAGCCCCCCACCAGCCCCCCATACCACTCCCTGGGGGGGGAGGGGGAGGCTTCCCATGAGGAATCATCAAAGTGTATCACATCATTTGGGATAGGACCTAGGCCCTCCCCCATGTATCTAGGTTAAGAGAGTATCCCTCCATGGGGAATGGACTCCCAAAGTCCATTCGTACACTAGGAATAAATACTGGTTCCACTACCAGAGACCCCATAGGCTGCCCAGGCCTCCCAGCTGACACCCACATTCAGGGGGCCTGGTTCCATCCTATGCTGGTTCCCAGCTGTCAGACTGGGGTCCGTGAGCTCCCATTTCCTCAGGCCAGCTGTTTCGGTGGGTTTCCCCAACATGGTCTTGACCCCTTTGCTTATCACTCCTCCTTCTCTACAACCGGATTCCAGGAGTTCAGCTCAGTGCTTAGCTGTGACTCTCTGCTTCTGCTCCGATCAGCTACTGGATGAAGACTCTAGGATAGCATTTAAGGTCGTCATCATTCTCATTATAGTGCCAGATTCCTCTTTAAACCTATAATGGCTCCCTCTATTAAGGTATCTCTTTTCTTGTTCTCCTTCTCAATTCTTCCCTCTGCTTAATCTTCCTGATCAGAGATTTCTCTAGTTTACATCTGTAGGAATGGCCATGTCTAGCAGGTTCAACTTTGTTTCCTGATCCTGTCTTCCCTATCTTTCTCTCTTAAGGAAGCCATAAAAGCTGAACTATTTCCAGCCTGCTCTTAGGGTTGAGTGTCCCCATCACAGCTCTGAGAAATGGAGACATTAGAACCATCATCACATGTGCACTTCCATGGGCCAGAAATGGATTTGATGACACCTTAACTGCACAGCACCCATGTCTTGGTCATGTGGTGACTGGTATGATGACAAAACCTTACAGTGGGAATGAGGATGCAGAATATGGAAAAGAAGCAGGATTCTTGATGCCTTCCGTAGAACATGGGAGTATGTCTGACTTTCCGGAAGACTTCAATAAGCTCTTCTGGGATCAGTCAGCGTAAGTGTGTTCTTTTTGTTTTTTGTTTTTTTTTGTTTTGTTTTTTTTTTAAGATTTACTGGGCGGTGGTGGCGCACGCCTTTAATCCCAGCACTCGAGAGGCAGAGGCAGGTGGATCTCTGTGAGTTCGAGGCTGGGCTGGACCGACAGCCTCCAAAACAATACAGAGAAGCCCTGTCTCGTAAAACCAAAAAAAAAAAAAAAGATTTACTTATTTATTACATATACAGTTTGTCTACATGCCAGGAGAGGGCATGCACCAGATTGAATTGTAGATGGTTCTGAGCCACCATGTGGTTGCTGGGAATTGAACTCAGGACCTCTGGAAGAGCAGTCATTTGAGTCAAGCAGTTGGCACTATAGCAGAGTGGGTTAGACAAAGCACTAAGACTGGGGGAGGATGGAGCAGTGTATGGAGTCCGTGGGTTCTCGAGCAAATGGTGGAGGAG